GGCGAAGGGAAAAAGGCTAATCCGAAGGCGCACACACCTGCGGGAGGCCTAGCGAGCCCCGGGGCGTGCAAGTCACGGGCGGGCGAAGGGACGCGGCTTGCCCTGGTCTCCGTGGCGTCACTTGCTGGTTCGTCTTGGGCGTCTTCTTGTTCTCCGATGGCAACGTCAGGATAATCTTGTTTATTGTGTGTTCTCGTATATAAGTATATGAGTCTATATATATTATATATATATATATATATATAATATATATATATATATATATATGTATATATATACACATATATATATATATATACATATATATACTATATATTATATATATATATATATATATATATATATTATATATAATATATATATATATATATATATATATATATATATATATATATATATATATATATATATATATATTATATATATAATATATATATTAATATATATAATATATTCGAATATGTGTATATAAATACTATAGATAAAACAATAATGAATAATGATAATGATGATAATGATACTAATAAAACAATAATGATGATAATGATACTAATAAAACAATAATGATGATAATGATACTAATAAAACAATAATGGTGATAATGATACTAATAAAACAATAATGATGATAATGATATTAATAAAACAATAATGATGATAATGATACTAATAAAACAATAATGATAATGATAACAACAACAATGACAATATCAATAATCATGGTAATCACCTTCAAGTCCGCATAAACAACCATCCTGTATCATGCTATAAAAACTCAAAAATCTGCAGTCAAGTGGAATGATATCAAGTGTATATTAAAAACGTAGGGTAATTTTTCGCAATAGTTCCTCCTCATGGATCGTGGGATTTTGGCATGGCTGGATTCCGCTCACGCTCTAGTTCTTTCTAGACCCCCTCCCCCCCCCAAAAAAAAAAAAAAAAGAAAAAAAAATCTTGGCCCCGATAGCAAGGGAGGGTATGGAAGCTGCCAGGCAAAGTGCGAGGTAAAATTGAGTAATATACCCAAAATCAGTCACTATTTTCTCTAATGCTACTACCCCAACCCTCCTCCGCGTGACTAATGGGGTGAGGTGAGGGGTGGGGGGAGTTCGTTACATTTGCAAAACTTTTTTTTTTTGCTTTTTTGCAAATTATTATTGAATATATATATAAATATATATATATATATATATATATATATATAATATATTTGTGTGTGTGTGTGTGTGTGGTGTGTGTGTGTGTGGTGTGTGTGTGTGTGTGTGTGTGTGTGGTATGTATATATAATATATATATATATATATATACCATATATATATACTATATATATATATATATATATATATATATATATATATATATATATATATATATATATATATATATATTCATTATCACCTTTACTTATACATACATAACTATCAGTATTATGTATTACTGCATTTGTTGCCATGCTGATCAGTATCATTCACGTTATTATTGCAGTATTATCATGGCGAAGCTTATTGCCAAAAAAATCTATTACCGCAAACATATATGAACAATAAACAGTGAATGCACTAAAAGAATAATATACGTTTATACTCAGCAAATACTAACACGCATTCATAAACAGCTTCCCAAGCCAATGCTTACTCTGTAGACAAGAAAAAGAAAAAAAAAAAAAAAAAACAAATAAGGATCAATATGCGGTTTATATGTACTCACAATAGTACTGACTCAAGCTGAGTTGTCTATTCTTTCGCCAAATTAAAAGTCTATTAGTTCCCGGTGCATTCAGTCCTCTGTGACCATAGGCAGCTGAAACGGACTACAGATATACCTTGAAATGAAGAATAGCATAGACAAGGCGACATCAAGATAAGGAGCGTATTAGAATGGGTAGAACAGTCAGCAGACGTGTGTATATCATTGCTTGAACTCAGCAGTCACGCAAAATATATTTTTTTGTACATGTGGTATCAAGCATAGTGTAATAGATAGCATGTTGAACCGTATTCATGATGACAAATGTGGGAAAAGTATGAATGAGAATTATATTATATATATATACTATATATATATATATTATGTATGTATGTATGTATATGCATATGTATGTGTGTTTATATATATTTATATATATTATATGCATATATGTATGTGTGTGTGTGTATGTGTATGTGTGTGTATGCGGGTATTCTTATGTTCAGAGTTCGTGTCATAAACTTTATTTGCATAATATCTTGAATTCTACTGCATATAAATTATTACCTGTTTAGAGCAGCTTTTATACCCTTCCCCTTACTTACTTTCGTTCTTAGTCTTTGTTTAGCATTTGTCAATTTCTGAACGTGACGAGAACGTTATCGCAGGTCATCCCCGAGTCTGCAACGCTCCGTCTTTGCAAAAAGCGGATTCTGCACCTGAACTCAAAAAAAAAAAAAAAAAAAAAAAAAAAAATTCCCAAACGGATGCTTGCAATCTTGCAATATATGAATATTATATATATATATATATATATATATATATATATATATATATATATATATATATAATATTATATATGTATGCTGTGTGTGTGTGTGGTGTGTGTGTGTGTTGTGTATGTGTGTGTGTGTGCCATATAGATATAATTGCATGTATACATACACGCACATATATATACGTGTGTGTCTATATATATATATATATATAATATATATAATATATATATATATATATATATATATTATGTATACATATATTCTTATATATTATATATATACGCACACACACACGCACATATATGTATTCATATATATATATATATGTATATATATATATATATATATATATATATATATATATATATATATATATATATATATATATATATATATATACATATAAATGCACACACACACAACACAAACACTCATATATATATGTATGTATGTATATAATACATGTCTATATAAACATACTTATATACATATGTTTTAATATATATATATATATATATATATATATATATATATATATATATATATATATATATATATATATATATATATATATATATATGTATATGTATCATAAAATGAACGTTTTTCAAATGCAACAGTGTCATCTAAGTGCTTGACCTTGACACGAAAAAGTGTATATAAGGTCTCTTTACCTCTCATAGTATGGCTCTTCTGATGGGCTTGATCTAATGTTGATTTCAATTCTTGCTAAAAGTTCGATGCCTGATCATCATTTCATGACCACGTCATTCAAGGAACGTCTTGTTGTTTTCAGAGACTGAGTGTGTTGGTGGCGTTGGGCTTGGTCGTCGTCGGGTCGGCCTGCAGCAGCTGCCTCGGCGGAGGCTGTGGCGGAGGATCCTCTGGTGGCGTCAGCCGCTCCTACGCAGGACCCACCAATAGCTTCGGAGAGGAGGAGGAGGAGGAGGATCGTTTGGAGGATCCTTCGGGGATCCTTCGGGGAGGATCCTTTGGAGGTGGTTCGTTCGGAGGAGGTTCTGGAGGCGGCGGTGGAGGAGGAATAAGTACCAGTTATGGAGGACCAAGCAATAACTTCGGTGGAGGAGGAGGTGGCGGTGGGTCCTTTGGGGGAGGTGGATCCTTCGGAGGAGGATCTTTCGGAGGTGGTGGCGGATCCTTCGGTGGTGGGTCCTCTGGAGGAGTAAGTACAAGTTACAGCGGACCAAGGAATAACTTTGGAGGAGGAGGAAGCGGTGGCAGAGGATCCTTCGGCGGAGGGTCCTTCGGTGGAGGCGGCGGTCGCTTCGGTGGCGGATCTTCTGGCGGAAGGGGCGGTGGTTTCGGCGGCGGAGGAGGATCCTTTGGAGGAGGATCCTTCGGCGGGGGAGTGAGCAACACTTACAGTGGGCCAAGCAATAACTTTGGAGGCTCTGGCGGAGGCAGTGGAGGATCCTTTGGAGGAGGATCCTTTGGAGGAGGATCCTTTGGTGGAGGATCCTTTGGCGGCGGAGGCGGCGGGTCTTTCGGAGGTTCAGGCGGCGGGGTATCTGGCAGTTACCTGCCGCCCTCCGGGAAATAACTGCTGCAGGAGAGAAATATGTACACTTTTTAAATGTAACTGACGTGAGAATAAATAATTTCAGAAAATACTTTACCATGTAAAGGTTTTTATTATCTATTCATTTATTCTTTGTATACGTGAGACGATCAAGCTATTTCATGAAAGCAAACGAGAACCTTACAAAAGTAATAATAGTAATGATGATTTTGATAGTGCCAAGATTCCTAAAATGATTGCGATCTTGATAACGATAATAGTGATAATAAGAATGATCATAATAAAAATAAGTCCAATAAGAATAATGTTAATAATGATAATGCTTGCTTATTTATTACTCTGGTTACATATAGGCATGCATATATCTATGTATACATACAAACATACATAAATAAATAAGACACACACATATATTGTGTGTGTGTGTGTGTGTGAACACGAGCATAAACACAGAAACAACAACAACAACAAAAAAGGAAAACAGCCACAAGATCCATTTTGGTTTATCATTCGACTGAAGAGAAACTCGCGAAGAGTTTGAAACGTATCGTATATATATGTATATATATATATATACACATATATGTGTATGTATATATATATACATACATACATACATACATACATATATATATATATATATATATATATATATATATATATATATATATATATATACATATATGTATATGTATATATGTTTTTTTTACAGCACACACACACACATACATATCTTTTTTAGAATCCCTGAAACCCTAGTTTGAAACACTGATCCACGTTTGCCCTCTACGCGCACATTAATGGAACTTGGTGGAACATCTTTTCAGTTTGTATCAAAGTGTTTGCCTCTACCTTGATACACTCCTGCCAGCCAATCAAAGCGCAATATTTTCCTCATATATTTCAAGCAGGCTCAGATAAGAATTTATATTTTCATTAATTACGAATTGCATTGTAAGTTTCTTGTTACAACATTCTATTCTAAAGGTGCATAAAATGTTTGTCTTCTTAGCAGTACATCAAATACATGTCCACTCAATATGGGTAAAAGTCAATCATGACCGTCGCTGGAACGACATGGTAAGAATGTTCAACGAGTACGAATGATATGACATGGTATTGACTTCGGTGGGATGAAGGGCTTAATTTTGTACCTCTGTGATACAACCATGACAGGCTCAAAAACATCACACAATAGACTATGTATCTTGATCTGTTAATATAATTGAATCAGTAGGACAAACAATACCTTCAATCATTGGTATTATCTATTTATCTAATTCGGAAACAGAGCTCACTCACTGTGAACATAAGATGCAAATCCTGATGCTACTTCCACTTTTTATATGAAGAACACTGAATGTAATGACAAAAAAATGTTTTGACTGAATCTGAGAAATACATTTGTATTTTTTTCTCAGTTTTGCGAAGCGAAAAAGAGTATATATAAACCTTCATATTTGCAGGGCAGTCAAATACTTTTTCACTTTATTCGAAGCTTCTACTAAATTTTGCTTGTAGTTGAATATCATACCTGCATATGAAGTACTTTACTAGTTTTCTGTTGACTCCTTTTGTGAAACAAAGGTTTTTTTTTTTTAAACTTTGTATATCAATGCAAACTTCGATGATAATCGTGTTTTGTAGCGACCATGATACAATATCAAACATTTAACAAAGTGTTTGGGTTTTCGGGGATGCTACAAAAAAGGGCCTATATATATATATATATATATATATATATATATATATATATATATATATATATATATATATATATATATATATATATATATATATATGAATGTCTTCGTGTGTACGTGCTTGTGAATATTCGCATACACACGATATGACTCAGTTGCAGAACGAAATGACCAGTGTCATCTAAGGCGGTGCTTGACCTTAAGACAAAAATCACGGTGTATATAAGGTCGCCTCCTTTACGCTGCCTCAGTATCATCTCCTATTCATGATGGTAAGAGCTCTTCGGCGGCGTGAATGTTGATTTCAATTCTTGCTAAAAGTTCGATGCCTGATCATCATTTCATGACCACGTCATTCAAGGAACGTCTTGTTGTTTTCAGAGACTGAGTGTGTTGGCGTTGGGCTTGGTCGTCGGGTCGGCCTGCAGCAGCTGCCTCGGCGGAGGCTGTGGCGGAGGATCCTCTGGTGGCGTCAGCCGCTCCTACGCAGGACCCACCAATAGCTTCGGAGGAGGAGGAGGAGGATCCTTCGGGGGAGGATCGTTTGGAGGCGGATCCTTCGGGGGAGGATCCTTTGGAGGTGGTTCGTTCGGAGGAGGTTCTGGAGGCGGCGGTGGAGGAGGAATAAGTACCAGTTATGGAGGACCAAGCAATAACTTCGGTGGAGGAGGAGGTGGCGGTGGGTCCTTTGGGGGAGGTGGATCCTTCGGAGGAGGATCTTTCGGAGGTGGTGGCGGATCCTTCGGTGGTGGGTCCTCTGGAGGAGTAAGTACAAGTTACAGCGGACCAAGGAATAACTTTGGAGGAGGAGGAAGCGGTGGCAGAGGATCCTTCGGAGAGGGTCCTTCGGTGGAGGCGGCGGTCGCTTCGGTGGCGGATCTTCTGGCGGAAGGGGCGGTGGTTTCGGCGGCGGAGGAGGATCCTTTGGAGGAGGATCCTTCGGCGGGGAGTGAGCAACACTTACAGTGGGCCAAGCAATAACTTTGGAGGCTCTGGCGGAGGCGGTGGAGGAGGATTCAGTGGTGGATCGTTTGGAGGAGGAGGATCGTTTGGAGGAGGATCGTTTGGCGGCGGAGGCGGCGGGTCTTTCGGAGGTTCAGGCGGCGGGGTATCTGGCAGTTACCTGCCGCCCTCCGGGAAATAACTGCTTCTGCAGGAGAGAAATGTGTACACTTTTTAAATGTAATTGACGTAAGAATAAATAATTTTAGAAAAAACTTTACCATGTAAAGATTTTATTTCCTATTCATTCATTTTTGTATGATGAAACGATCAAGCCATTTTATGGAAATCAACGAGAATCTGATAATAGTAATGATAGTGATTTTGATAGTAACAATAGTCATATGATAATTGCGATGTTGATGATAATAATAATAAATAAAAATTATCATATAACAATAAGAGCAATAAGACTAATGATAATTATGACAATGTATGTTTATCTATTACTCTGATAACATATTTGCATATATGTATGTACATACAAACATACATACATACATAATATATATATATATATATATATATATATATATTATATATATATATATATATATATATAATATATATCAGGAGTGGCCAACCTTTTGTGAGATATGATCTACTTTTTCTAAAGTTACCCTGATGCGATCTACCAGCCTAAGGTTCAAACATAAATATTTGTATGTTGTTCAGACTTTACATCATTATAAATATAAGTATAACTTATTTCCAGAAAAAGATAAATATGATAATCCAAGTATCATGAGAACTTGGATATGCTATTGCAGCTATTTGCATGACCACTTCTGAAGGACGAATTATTGAGGTACAGTATTGTGCAGGCTTGTGATGGACCAGTCGATCGCGATCGCTGGTTTCCCCTGACACATATGAACACAAGCATAACATAGTAACATGCACACACACACACACACACACACACAAGAAAAAGAGAGGGAGAGAGAAAAAAAGAAAAGAAAAAGAAAATGAAAACAGCCACAAGATCCATTTCGGCTTATTATTCGTCTGAAGAGAAACGTATCGTATATATACACATATATATATATATATATATATATATATATATATATATATATATATATATATATATATATATATATATATATATATATATATATATATATATATATATATATATATATATATATAATATTATATATATATATGTGTATATACATATATATGTAAACATATATGTTTTATATATACGTATATATAGAGTTATGCCTTTTTGTAGTACATACCTTCAATCAATCGTATTATCTATTTATCTAATTCGGAAACAGAGCTCCCTCACTGTGAACATAAGATGCAAATCCTGATGCTACTTCCACTTTTCTATATGAAGAACACTGTGTAATGACAAAAAATGCTTTGACTGAGTCTGAGAAATACATTTATAATTTTTCACAGTTTGGCGTAGCGAAAAAGAGTATATAAACCTTCATATTTGCAGGGCAGTCAAGTACATTTATTCACTTTATTCGAAGCTTTTACTAAATTTTGCTTGTAGTTGAATATCATATCTGCATATGAAGTACTTTGCTAGTTTGCTGTTGACTTATTTTGTGAAACAAAGGATTTTTTTTTTTCAAAACTTTTATGTCAATGCAAATTTCGATGAAAATCGTGTTTTGTAGCGACCATGATACAATATCAAACATTTAACAAAGTGTTTGGTTTTCGGGATGCTACAAAAGGGCCTATATATATATATATATATATATATATATATATATATATATATATATATATATATATATATATATATATATATATATATATATATATATATATATATATATATATATATATATATATATATATATATATATATATATATATATATATATATATATATATATATATATATATATATGAATGAATGTCTGCGTGTGTACGTGCTTGTGTATATTCGATACACACGATACGACTCAGTTGCAGAACGAAATGACCAGTGTCATCTAAGGCGGTGCTTGACCTTAAGACAAAATCACGGTGTATATAAGGTCGCCTCCTTTACGCTGCCTCAGTATCATCTCCTATTCATGATGGTAAGAGCTCTTCGGCGGCGTGAATGTTGATTTCAATTCTTGCTAAAAGTTCGATGCCTGATCATCATTTCATGACCACGTCATTCAAGGAACGTCTTGTTGTTTTCAGAGACTGAGTGTGTTGGTGGCGTTGGGCTTGGTCGTCGGGTCGGCCTGCAGCAGCTGCCTCGGCGAGGCTGTGGCGGAGGATCCTCTGGTGGCGTCAGCCGCTCCTACGCAGGACCCACCAATAGCTTCGGAGGAGGAGGAGGAGGATCCTTCGGAGGAGGAGGAGGAGGGGAGGATCGTTTGGAGGCGGATCCTTCGGGGAGGATCCTTTGGAGGTGGTTCGTTCGGAGGAGGTTCTGGAGGCGGCGGTGGAGGAGGAATAAGTACCAGTTATGGAGGACCAAGCAATAACTTCGGTGGAGGAGGAGGTGGCGGTGGGTCCTTTGGGGGAGGTGGATCCTTCGGAGGAGGATCTTTCGGAGGTGGTGGCGGATCCTTCGGTGGTGGGTCCTCTGGAGGAGTAAGTACAAGTTACAGCGGACCAAGGAATAACTTTGGGGAGGAGGAAGCGGTGGCAGAGGATCCTTTCCTTCGGCGGAGGGTCCTTCGGTGGAGGCGGCGGTCGCTTCGGTGGCGGATCTTCTGGCGGAAGGGGCGGTGGTTTCGGCGGCGGAGGAGGATCCTTTGGAGGAGGATCCTTCGGCGGGGAGTGAGCAACACTTACAGTGGGCCAAGCAATAACTTTGGAGGCTCTGGCGGAGGCGGTGGAGGAGGATTCCATCGATCGTTTGGAGGAGGATCGTTTGGAGGAGGATCGTTTGGAGGAGGATCCTTTGGCGGCGGAGGCGGCGGGTCTTTCGGAGGTTCAGGCGGCGGGGTATCTGGCAGTTACCTGCCGCCCTCCGGGAAATAACTGCTTCTGCAGGAGAGAAATGTGTACACTTTTTAAATGTAACTGACGTAAGAATAAATAATTTTAGAAAATACTTTACCATGTAAAGATTTTATTTCCTATTCATTCATTTTTGTATTGATGAAACGATCAAGCCATTTTATGGAAATCAACGAGAATCTGATAATAGTAATGATAGTCATTTTGATAGTAACAAGAGTCATATGATAATTGCGATGTTGATGATAATAAATAAT